ATTCTTCTGGCACTGAACACTGTCATCTATAAATAACATATTTTATACTATTGCAACTTCTTTTCTTAAAAAAAATTATTTTCTTTATTTTTATTATTATTATTTTTTGGCTGTGTCGGGTCTTAGTTGTGGCGCGCGGGATCTTCACTGAGGCACGTGGAATCTTTAATTTGCGGCACGCGGGCTTCTCTGTAGTTGAGGCGCTTGAGCTCGGTAGTTGTGGCACGCGGGCTTAGTTGCCCCGTGGCCCGTAGGATCTTAGTTCCCCGACCAGGGATCGAACCCGCGTCCACTGGACCATGAGGGAAGTCCCTACTGCAACTTCTTGATTTCTCAGATGAAGCCATGCACTCCTGACTTCCACTGTAGAAAATGTGGTTTCAGCTTTCTTCTACATCTCCACCGTGTGTACCCCACTCCCCCGAAGGGTTGAGGCTCCGTGTTTACCACTGACATGATTAGACATGATTGTTATCAGTGCTATTCACACATGACCGGGTGACACACTCTCCTGCATAACTGCTTGTTTCCTCTCAAGTCAATTGTTTTATTTTTGTTAGTTTTCATTGCTCTTCTCCAAGTGTCTAAATCTTGCAGAATATTAAGATTTGATCAGTTTTCTCTTCTGGAAGTCCCCTCCCCTAGAGCCTTTGACCAGCTGCCTTCTGAACTGGCTGTTCAGGCCACTGTACAAGCTGTCATCCCTGGATCTCCCCTCAGTATCCTTCCCTCCACTGTGTTTAATCCTGTCTCCTGGCCCCCTGTCCTCTAGTACTTGGCTTAGGTGTTCGTTGTTGGGAAGCAAAACCTAACAGAAGGGAGCACAGGAGATAAATTTTGGGAACATTGCATGTCTGAAAACGTGCTCCCACACTTAGAGGTTCAGCAAGTACGGAAGTGTAGGTAGAAGGTAACTTTCCTCTAGGGTTTTTGAAGGCATTAGCTTAAGTTTCTTCTAGCTTCCAGTGTCACGTTTCCTAAGTGTGGTGCTATTCTGATTCCTGACACTTTTTACGAGATGAGTCCTTTCTCTCTGGCAGCTTTCAGGATCCTCATTTGTCCCTGGCGTTCTGTGACATTGCAGGGATGTGCTTTACTCTGTGTCCGTTTTCTTCCACTCTGCTGGGGATGAGGTGTTTCCTTTCAACTGGTAAGTTTAGTTCTGGGAAATTTTCCTAATTTATTTCATGGATGTTTTGTCCCTCCATTTTCTCTATTCTTTTTTTTTTACTGAAACTCCTATTCAGCCATTGGACCTCATGGACTTACTTTCTCTTTCTCTCATTTTCTATCTAATTGCTTTTTGCTCTGCTTCCTGAGAAGTTTCTTCCGCTCTACACTCCAAGTTTTCTGTTGTATATACAATTTCTGCTGTCATATTTTTAACCTCCGAGGACGCGTCTCCTCCTGGCACAGCCCGTTTCCTCCAGTTGCTTTTCTTCTTTTATGTTTTGATTTCTGTCTTTTCTGTACATGCTTTCCTCAAAGGTCTGATGAGCCCCAGCTGTTTGCTCATTTTTAAGAGAGGGATACCATGGAAGCCTTTTCCGTGAGGTTCTCTGTGGGGTGATTGATTTGGCTTTGCCTTTTTTTGGGGCAGGTCAGATTCCCAAAGAAGAATCTTCCTGTCTCCTGCCTGGAGATTATGGCTGCCCACGTCTGGGAGCCAGAAGACGAAGAAAGCTGCTGATCTCCAGATTCAGTGTGTAGCTGTTCTCTTCTGCTCCCTGTTTTCAGTACTGATTGCCTCCCTCACCCCCATCCTTAGCTTCGGTCTTTGTTGGGGTGCAGGAGGGGCTTTATCTCAGTGTCGAGGGAAGGGCAGGAGATTGGGCTCTTCCTGTCTTTCCGCTGTCCTCGTGTTTTCAGCGTCACCTTCATTCCCTCTTCCAGACTTGTCCACCCCCAAGACTCCCTGGAGTTCTGTGGTTTGTGCTTCCTTTTCCTGTTGCCAGGTTAGCCTGAACTGTCTCATGTCTGGGCAGTTATTCATCCATCTGCTTTCCTGCTTCCAAAATTGTGTTGCTGTTGCCCTCTCTCCTCTTTTCTTTGTCTGACTGTGTTCATTCCATTTACCGTCATTTTCGTGGGACGTGGGAGAAAACAGAGGTGTTCAATCTACTATTTTAACCAATATGCAATTACTATGTTTATTACGTGTTTTGGTGTCTGTCTTTCCCATCAACTGTTGAGCATCTCAAAATTGTAGCCCAAGTGCCTCTAAACAGTTTGTTTCAATACATTTTTATGGAATTAACTAAGCAGATTAAAAGAGTACTTTCTTGACTGTGTTTTTTTGAGTAAATAAATGGGATGAGTAGGTTTGTGTCACACAAGGAGAGAAAATTCAGTGCCTGTTTTTAGGTCTGACGCTGAGATCTCTAGTTTGTAATGGGCACGCTATTATACAATTGTTCTGTTTTCCATAAAACCCCACTGACAACTCACTTAGCTAATCCGGGACAATTTTCCATCTTAAAACCAAATAATTAAAAGGGACTTTGAGAGCTCGCATAGTAAATCCCTTTCCCTCTGGCTGGAAGCATTATTAGTCCATTACAGTTCCAAGAAAAGACATCAGCTCAGAGGGTGAGTTCAGACATTCTTGAAAAACTGGGGATATCAATTCTCTAACTCAGTATTATACAAAGGAAAATAGGACAAGGAAACAAGACAAAAGAGAGTATCTTCCAGATCCTTAGACACTAATTACCCCCCACTGCTCTGGAGGTCCTGAGGCCGCCCTCTGTATTCTCTGCCCTTCTCTTCTGGTCAAGAGAAAGCGTGCAGCCAGGGGATGGAGAGCAGGGCCCTGGCGGGGGGGGTACTGTGTGTCTTAGAGTGGGGGGCGGCGAATGGTCCAGCACCTGGGCGCTCTCCTGTCTCCTCCAAGGCCTCCTCACTCACGGGGTTGCAACAGGGGTCTTTAAAAGATCTCCTTGCCCTGCCAGATTTCTTGCTACTGTGACAGGTTACTACCTTTACACAAGCATGTGATGTGTAATATAAAAGATATTAGAACCGTTAAACATTTTGGAAAGTTCTCTGAAGAACAAATAGAGAAAGAAAAATTGAAGCTTCTTATCATGGGGACTTTCAAGAATACAAAAACCAGTAAATAGGGAATTCCCTGTCAGTCCAGTGGTTAGGGCTCCACGCTTTCACTGCCAAGGGCCTGGGATTTGATCCCTGGTCAGGGAACTAAGATCCCACAAGCCGAGTGGTGCGGAAAGAAAAAAAAAAATCTAGTAAATAAAGCTCCTGTAGCCATTATCCAGCTTTCACAATGATCAACATTTTACCAACGTTGTAAAATCTATTTTTGCCCCCCATCCCCATTCACTGTTTAAAAATATTTGCTGGAGTAGATTAACACAAGTTCCAGACAGCATGTCATTTTCATCCATAAAAACTTCTACACAGTCTCTCATCGTTCATAACGTTTTTCCTTTTTCTTCCTCTTTCATATAAAACTACAATGCCATTATTATTGTGACCTAAAATTAACCATTCCTTAATATCATCTAATACTCCAGTCCACACTCAAATTTCCCAGATTACCTGAAAAATATCTTTCTCCACAAGATTTGTTTGAATCAGGAGCCAGATAAGGTCCACTCATTGTATTTGGTTCATATACCTCCTAAGTCTCTTAATTCCTAATGAAAACTTTATTCTTTAACTTACATATAATTACGTGCTTTAAAAATGAAGGGAGGTGTATAGCAGGCTTGGTTTTGCTGCAGGGGCAGCTCTGTTTTAATTGGGCATGCTTCCAAAATTGTAAGTACTCCTGGGACATGTTTTTCCTGGCTATGTTTTTCCTGGCCTAGTACTTCTATTAGGAAGCTTAGAATTAAACTGTTAATCATTTTTACTGTAGCTGCATTCTGCCCTACTTACTGATGCAACTAATCAAACTTTGGAGACAGTTACGTATTAAATTTGTGCATATTTAAAAATCTCCCTGGACTTCCCTGGTGGTCCAGTGGGTAAGACGCCGTGCTCCCAGGGCAGGGAGCCCCAGTTCAATCCCTGGTTGGGAAACTAGATTCTTCATGCCACCACCAACAGCCCGCATGCCTTGACTAAAAGATCTGGTGTGCCACAACTAAGACCCGGCACAGCCAACCAAAATAAATAAATAAACAAATATTAAAAAAAAAAAGAATAAAAATCTCCCTGTTACTTTAAAAAAGTATAAATCCGTACTGTAGATTGTAATGATGGTGGCAGTTAGATATGTGGAAGCTGAGTTTGGTAATAAACACGTAGATTAGGTATTATCTTAGAAAGGCTTTCAAGCAATTTATTTCTCGTGTCAGTAGTGGGGAGTAAGAGAGTATTCCGAGGGCAGGATTTCAGTAAAGATCAATAAATGCAGAGCTAACCCCCCGCGTTTCTGGTCATTCCCCTATTTCCATGCATTCTTCATATTTTTATTTATTTTTTTAAAAATACTTATTTACTTATTTATTTTGGCTACCCCAGGTCTTAGATGTGGCAGGCGGGCTCCTTAGTTGCAGTATGTGGGCTCCTTAGTTGCGGCATGCAAACTCTCAGTTGCAGCAAGCATGTGGAATCTAGTTCCCCGACCAGGGATCGAACCCGGGCCCCCTGCATTGGGAGCACAGAGTCTTATCACTGCCCCACCAGGGAAGTCCCTCTTCGTATTTTTAAATCTCTCCTTTAGTCCTACAATCTGGCATTAGCCTTCCCTCCCCCATTTCTCCTCTTGTCGTGTTCAACTCATGTTTATTGTGTGTCTGCTGTGTGCCAGACACATTACAGACCAGGTCTCACTTAATTCTTATGACAGCCCGTGGAGGGAGTAGCCCCACTTTGTAGACGTGAAAACCCAAGGTCAGAGGTTGGTGAGTTGCCCAAGGTCACTGCTTTTGCCAGTGCCCCCTGCTCTTAGGATTGTTCGTTGGGTCAGTTAAGGGAGGTGAAAATCGACATCAAAGGAGGTTACAAAACATTTAAAACTCGACCAGTACCTGCTCCGTGGAAGCCCCCGCAGACGTACAGCTTCCCGTCCACGGCTCCTGCATTGGTAGAATTGGTGCGAAGTGAGAGCAGGGGGCTGGGCATGGGTGGGCCCTCCCTCCAGAAGTCCCCGTCTGGGTTGTAGATCTCCACCGTGTCAAGGCACTTCCGAACCTGACCCTTGTCTCGACCTATGCAGCCGATTCCACCTGCAGAGGGTGACACAGAAAGGAGGTGACCAGAGCTGAGATGTCCCCATGGGCAGTGCCCCCTTTCTGCCGGGTCTGTATCTCAGGCTCATGGACCTTGGTGTGCTTCTGTTGCCTGGTGCTTCTTCTGAGATAATTTGTAAGCAATGGTAATGTCTACTGTGGACTCCTTAGCCAAGGCTAATCTCGTTTTATCCATAGTATTCTATCTGTTTGTGCTCACCCATGAGGCTGATTCCACCACAGGCTTTATAACCTACAACATCCAACACTGGCTCACACAATGACCCTCCCTTTAGAGGAAGAATTTCCGGTTTGAATGTGAGGGTGACCCGGTTCTGACATCTGCCTTCCTGTTCGTTATGATTCCACAGACCTGGCTAGAGAGGCAAACATCCTTTCCATTCCCATCATTGCCAGCCTGTCTCTCCTTCTCTTCTTGTTTATTTTATTTTATTTTTTATTTTTGGCTGCTCCGCACGGCATGCCGGTTCTTAGTTCCCCGACCAGGGGTCGAACCCGGGCCCCCTGCAGTGGAAGCGCAGAGTCCTAACCACTGGACAACCAGGGAAGTCCTTCTCCCGCTTTTTTTTTTTTTTTTTTTTTTTTGCGGCAAGTCAGCTGACAGCTTTATTGCATTGGGGAAGGGGACAGATTGCTCAGGAGCTCTTGGTGGGGCGGGTCCACTGCCTCTTCACCGTCACAGGCTTCTGGCTGCTCAGGATGGCGCTGGCTCTGCAGATGGCAGCTATACGCAAATCCGGGCGGTACTTGTTCTTTCGGATCATGTGCCGGCTGCTGCTGAGGGTGGCCCGGGCGTTCTTGTTGATGGTGGTCCGCACGTAAGAAGTGGCTGGCTTTCGCTGGCCGGATCTCCGCTTCATGACCACCACGACCCCTTTGCCGTCCGCCGCCAGCTCCACGCCCACAGTCTTGCGGTGAATGAGCCCGTTGTAGCGAAAGGAGTTGCGGGCCTTCAGGTTATTGGGTTCGGTGCTGTACGTCTGCTTATTCCTCTTGATCAAGAAGCTGGAGCAGTTCCGCACGACCATCCATTGCAGATGCGCGGACATGGCGGCAGCTCCTCTCGTGGCGGCGGCCGGATACGGCCTTCCTCTTTACTTAAGTGGCAGGAATTTTTCCCCATTAGAGCAGGGCCAATCTTCGGTAAATTTCAGGTTTGGGGGTCAGAGGGAAGCCCCAAACACAAATGCGTGATGCGTCTTCCATTTTTGAGTGACACAGTTCATTCGGTAGATATTCCCTGATTACCTGTTACTCGCAAGGCAGCATGCTCATGATGAGGAGCTGAGAAAGATGAGCGAGGTATGTTTCTTGCCGTTATTAAGAAATTAATGGGGTGGGGCCTTCCCTGGCGATCCAGTGATTGGGGCTCCGCCTTCCCGTGCAGGGGGTGAGGGTTCGATCCTTGGTTGGGGAGCTGGGATCCCGTATGCCTCGTGGCCAAAACATCAAGGCATAAAACAGAATCAATATTATAACAAATTCAATAAAGACTTGAAAAATGGTCCACATCCAAAAAAACTTTAAAAAGAAAAGAAATTAATGTGGTGCAAAGGGCCATATACACAAATAAACAGATAGCGACATCATGACAAGTACCTTAAAAGAGATACACATTACACTCAGAAGTCCAGAGACTGTAGCAAGTAGCAGAAATACCATTTACATAGTTGTGACTTTAAGTACAACGCTCCATGGGAAAGTAATGGCATAAGAATTTCCAATCCGCTGTAATAAGAAGCACAAGTTTGTAGGTGACCTTTTTTGTACCACAATGAAAGGTCTTAAATGTCAGGGCTATATTTCCTGATCTGAAGCGTGGCTCCTGGGATGGAGGTGAATCCCCTGGAAGGAGAGACAGTCCTCTCTTCGGTGACCTCATTCCATGCAGACCCAATCTGGTGACCTGGTCTACACGACCAATCAAAGTTGGGAGAGTGCTGGCCTCAGGCTACCCTGGAGGGTCCTGGAAGGGTCAGTGCAGTGGGGTGTGGGTGAGGGCTTGGCTCTGTTGTTTATAGCAACACCAAGACCAGAACCGAGACTGCTCTCATCACATGGCCTTTACTCAATGTGTCACTTAGAGATTAATCACATGACACCTCGTGGCATTTCCTCTTTTGTGTTATTTAATTCCCTTTCCCGTCGTCATGCTGGTCGGATGGTCCTTCCGTGCATCATCACATGGTTTCCTATCTTCCTTCAGTACTGCACCCCAGGACCTAGCACAGTGCCTGACATGTGCGGGTCTGGAATGAATGAACCAGAAAGTTAACTTTTCCTCAGCTTCCGCTGGCCTAGTGGATATGTTACAGGCTCACTGAGGGCAAAGACCACTTTTCACCTGTCTTATATCTCACAGTGCCTGACACTTGGTACTCAGTGAATCCGAGAAGATTGATGGGAACAGCTTATTTTCACCCTGGTTGGGACTCACGCAGACATAAGAGGACTTCAGAGGGAACCTTTTTGTTCTCTTTGCCTATGGAGCCTGGCCTGTTTCCTGTCTCAGTACGAACCCAGGGATCAAGGCTATAAACTCAGGAAGCTCTTAGCTGCTTTCCCTCTTTTCCTCCTGGATAAATAATTTAGCCCGTTACCGTGCCAAGTCTGAGCAGCAGCGTTTCCAAGGAGGGGACACGCCGGCCTCAGTTAACTGCACACTCTGTTGTTCACAGGCCCTCTTCCAGTGTGGCGCTGGGGCAGCTGGAGGCTTCTTAGTCCAACAAAAAGTGGAATTTCCTATCTGTGGGGCAGGATGGGCTTAAAGAAGAGGATTTATCTTTAGCAGTTGACCATGGCAGCCACCCATCAGGTAAGAACAAGATGATTTGGCTACCTGCTCCGTAAGAGATACTATTCGGCTGGTTTATAGTACGAGCACTTTAGAAGACCAGTCAGTGGGGGCAAACAGATGAAATGCAAGTCGCTCAGAGCCAGTCTGGGCACACCCAGCAGCCAGCAACCTGGGCGTAATCAGAAGTTCACATAAAAGCCCGTTAAGAAAGCTTCCCCCACATAAAGCATATAAAGAATGGGTATTATTCTCTCGGTTGTTGAAATAATTAGAGTGCTTGTCATTTTCGTTTCCCTTTTACTAAGTGTATTTAATTATAACGTTCAGCCTTTACGCTACAAAACTAAACTTCTACATAGGTACCCTTTCTGTTTGGTTGTCAGACAGTTCACAGGCTCCACTCGGGTGACACGGGCTTGCAGGCTCTGCCTTTGTTTCTGACCGCCCGCCCCTGAATACGCTCTCTGTCTCACTTGGATGTAATTCTACCACCAAGTACACTCTCAGCACCACTCTGTTACCAGCGACTTAATGAGCTTGAACTGAAAGTGAATGCTGATTACATAAATAATCAAATAAAAGCATGGTCTTTATTAATAAGTCAGCACCAGCACGACAAGAGAACTCTTGATCCTGGGGTAGGATCAGCACATCTTTAGAATTTCAATGAGATACTTCATATCTTTCATTTACATGCCATCAGTACCTCTGCGCCTGACTTTCCTTTATTCAAAAACAGGCAAATAGAAGTTATCTTTGCAAGTCATACCCCAGTGGACCTCCAGTGCAAAATATATACTTTAGGTTTTTTTGGTGGGGTCAGGGGGTGTGGATTATAGAAGAAGATGCCTCTCTCTCCTCTTTTATTTCTACCAAGATGAAGACCTGCTCTCTTTGTGTTTGGTGGTCATAGAGTCTTTCCCTCTGCAGGGCATGGGAGGAACCGTCTCCCCACACCAAGCCTGGCCGGGCACTGGCAGAGGGTGGGGGCGTGGTCCTTCCCTGACATCCTCTAGGACTTGCTGTCCATGGGGCCTTGAACACAGCGGGGCTGGTTCCTGACGTCCTTCTGCCTGCAGTCCTGCCTTCAGGTGGCAGGCTGCACCCCAAAGGGGAGGGTGAGTCTGGAGCAGTTCCCACCAGCTCCCAAAGTTGCTTGCACGGCTCAACAAGCTTTAATAATATATTCACTGTTGAAGGCTCCCGTGGGCCAGGGAAAAAGCATGTGGGCTTTCAGAAACAGACCATGGTTCATATGCCTGTGTCACCACTTATAGCTGGACAACTTTGGTCAGTATAATTTCTCTAAGTCTCAGTTTTCTCATCTGTAAGTTTCGGATAATAATTCCAATTTCAAATTGCAAAGGTTAACTTATAGGTAACTATGTAAAGGTGGAGGAGGGTGAGGAGGATGGACATGCGCTGTAAACTATTCCCAAGTACTATGATGGGAATTTCCTTTTAGTTCTTCCCATGCACTCCGTGTGATGGTCATTCTTCCTCTCTCGTGTTCCAGGACATTGTGTAAGTGAAGCAGGGCTCACTGAAGCCTCTGGTCTTAGGTTTGCGTGATCTCAGTTTAATTGTCCGCTGCATCTATGATTGATGGCTGTAGGGGCGAAGCTCTCTTAAATGTTTACTTTGAGGTTGGATAGAGCAAGTCAGAGGCTGAAGGGCTGAGAAATAAGCTGAGCCTTCAGGTGGGGAGAAAGTTTCGCTGACACGATGGATCAGAGTAATGCACTGGTCAAACATTCGAGAGGGGTAGGAGCTGTCAGGTGGCAGCATAGGAGACAGTCACGCTAATATAATGCTCGCGACAATGTCCTTCCCACCCTGGTTGTCTGCTCTCTGGTTTTCTTCTTCACTCATTTCGGAGCTCCAGATTTGGAGCCTAAAGCGCTAGAAGACATGATCTAGCTTCTTGTCCCTTCTTAGGGCTCTCTTGGGTATTTTCAGAAAAAAAGCCCTTCAGGACAGGGTGGAAAGTAGGCTCATCTGCCTTTTACAAACTTCCGGGTCACGCCATAGGCCTGTCTAAGTGTGTTGGGCTCACAGGACACGGGTGGTGGTGCTCTCTCGTGTGCGCACACCCTTTTCACCCACTAACCCCTCCCTGCCCTTCGCCAGCCTTTTCTTGCTAAGAAAACGTCCATCTGCATTCTGTTCGCTCCTCAAA